TCACACATAACAAGTGTATAAAACATATCTAAGATGGGGTAATCAATTACTCTGAGGACAGGGGTGAAATAGTAAGGCAGGGGTAATACATCTGGGAGAGGTAATGGCACGAATGGAATGCCATGAGTCTATCAACAGGGGTTAATGAACTAACATACTACCGATCTCACAAGAATACACATACAACTGCACTAGTCGTAAGACAAGTTCTTTTAAGTATATCAATACATCATTTAATGTTAAAAATAATTATATTCTATAATACATCGATATGATTTATTTTACATCGATATAAATGAATTGTATTAAATAACCACGGGTGCAGAACAAGCTAATGGCTAAGGGGGGTCATCCATGAATGACGTCACGCTTGTTTTGGACGATTTTTACCTCCCACCCTCCCCTCCGCCTTTTTGGGAAACTTTGTAAAACAATATTTGTCAGTAATTTCTTTGGGACAGTACAACGATGTAAACCACAAGATTTCTTTTCATGCAGCTATTAAGCACATAGTGCTAGACTGGTGTTAAATCATGATACCATTTATAAAGCGTGTACGTTTACAACACCTTTTAACAGGTGTATTAGTCTGTTATACTATAATTATCATTAAATTTAAAAAAAAAACCCACGTTTTCTGGTTGAACTAAAAAGTAGAAAATAAATGCTATACATCACAATAATGCAAGCAATCACTCTACTATAAGCAATCGCAAACTGCGTGCGCATTATGACAAAAAATGAAAAACGTGGGGCGCCGAAGTAAAAGTAAAAGAAAATCACGGCGCCCCACTTTTATTTAAAAATTACAACACATATACAAACACAACTGATGTAGCACTTCTATTTAAATGTACTTATTGGCGAACTGCGTAGTGCCGGAGATTTATTTACAAGCTTAACGTCCAACATCACGATAAAGTAAGAGTATCTTGACAGGTTGGGCGATAGTGACTACGATTACAGATTATATGAAAATGTAGAAAATTTAAATTAACTTTATATTAATATTTTATTTATATTAAATTTGACTAAGGCTACATTTTCTATTTAAAAATACAACCCAACTTAAACCCAAAGTCATCGCAATTACCGCTCAAGTGTTGTATCGTTTGAATTAGTTTCGAATAGTTAGCAATTATCATAAGGTAATCGACCCATTTAAACTGTTGGGTGTATCAAGCTTAATATATTGCAACCGAGATAACAGTGGCGCTTTAAATACTTTAGTTAAAAGAAAACAAGTAAAGAAGAAAATTAAAAATTTATTGCGAGAAAGGAAAAAATTGAAAGACAGTTCAGATCGCCGACAAACATCAACCAAATTACGTCATTCTGGAGACATATTTTTCTAACTTCACGCCTTCACCTTCGACAACAACACAACCACAGGTCGAAGTGTTTGAAGATACCAAAGTATAAAATATTCAAGCGACCACATTATCTCATATGCAGAATCAAGTCGTCGAGACTCAAGACCATAAGGTGTTGTCCATACCTATTTTAGAAGACAACCATTTAGAAGACGATACTGACAGAACAATGCCTGTCAAAATTATTGTAACACTCACTCAATGGGGATGCTTGTTGTGTTTAAAAGGGCTGACCCTGAGATTTAGGACACACTGAAACGACGCTGTTGTCAACTACTGGCTTTATTGACATTACATCATGCCATAAACTGCGATGTAGAGCAACAGTAGAAAACAGTGTAGAAAACAGTAGATCACAGCAAAACAAAAACCAAAGAAGACGACGACTGTAGCCCTTCATTAGGTCTACATGTTCTACCTATACACAACGTCACCCTCCGTGTCTACATCACCCTTGGGTCTAACTGACACGGCTACAGGCACGAACTACCCATAATTCCATGTCAAATGACATGGGACACGGGTAAAATCGCTTACCGAAGAGCATGCAAAAAAAAAATTACATCAACAGTTGCGGTCCAACAGGGGCCGCAACCCAATGAATTGCAAACTTTATTACTTATCCCCCTTGGCTGGTAACCATTTTAGTTACACTATATTCGATGCAATTTTAGAATATCCTAAAGATCCATTGTGTTTTGTGATACACCCTAAACACCGGATTTAGTACGTGCATTACTTGAGTTTGGTCCTTGTCACCATGGCCTTCCGTTTATCCAAACCTGTCCACTTTGTATCGCTTGTTTCTCACTTTATCAATAAGCAGTGCCGGAGCAGAAAGATCCTTCGGCCGTCTTAAAATTCCTGAAAACATACATCCATTCTACTATGAAGGAAGACAGGTTGTCTAGCTTAGCCCTGATTGAACTGCAATTCACATTTGATGTTGAATTAAAAGAAATAATTTATCATTTTGCTAGAAATAAACCTCGACGATGTTGTAGTTTTATTAAACGCTCTAGAATACAGCATAGAACGAAATTGTTATTTAATGCGTTTATACAGGACATTGTAAGTAATGTTTTTCTTTTTCCAATTTAATTTAAAGTGAAGACCATTTTGTAAAACTGAATATGCAATAAAAAAATACCTGCATTTACGCGTGTTTTGCATTCCAATTTCTAGAATAGACATAATGTTATTGTATATATATATATATATATATCAATATATATATATATATATATATATCAATATATATATATACATATATATATATATATATATATATATATATATATATATATATATATATATATATATATATATATATATATATATATATATATATATTTATTTATACATGAGCATAGAACGTGTGAAAAATTTGGCGTCTTTTTGTGCTATTTTCGCTCCCCCTACACCAAAAACCTGAATACGCCTCTTGTAATAAAGTTGAGCAATAGGTAAAGCTGATAGAATCAGGTCAAAGGACGTTCCATAAGTTTGGTCACACCTGGTCTAACGACGCCAAAATAATTACCTGCAACGATTTGAGATAATTATCTCCCGGTGGTCGTATTGATCACTTGAGCCCTGAATACATTTGAAACTATCAATGGCAGGTCATAGGTCAAGCTAAACCCTACCGCTGGTCATAGGTCTTGATGAAGCTAAACCCAAAGTCTGAACCCAAATTAGAACTATATCAGTAATAAACGTTAGTTACATAAATATTCATAGTGACCTTAGATAAAAAGTTACAGCTGCCTTCGTATCACTAGAATTAAGTCTAAATAGAAAGTTACCAACGTTGAAGTAACAGAACATAAAAGACTAACTATGTAGCAGTAATGCAGACTAGAATGTAAACTTCAGTGGCGCAGCCGGGATCGTCTCATGGGGTTCAAATTTTCTCCAGCATTTTATATATATATATATAATTATATATATATATATATATATATATATATATATATATATATATATATATATATATATATATATATATATATATATATATATATATATATATATATATATATATATATATATATATATATATATATATATATATATATATATATATGTATATATATGTATATGTATATGTATATGTATATGTATATGTATATGTATATGTATATGTATATGTATATATATACATATATATATATATATATATATATATATATATATATATATATATATATATATATATATATATATATATATATATATATATATATATATATATATATATATATATATATATATATATATGTATATATATGTATATGTATATGTATATGTATATGTATATGTATATGTATATGTATATGTATATGTATATGTATATGTATATGTATATGTATATGTATATGTATATGTATATATATACATATATATATATATATATATATATATATATATATATATATATATATATATATATATATATATATAAACATATATATAAATATATATATATATATATATATATGTCATTGCTTCGCTATGATGTAAAATAAATTGAAAGTACTCTGAAGAAATAAGAAAAAAAACCGCACAATGTTGGCCGACAAAATAAAACAATTTATCATTTCAAATGAAAGAAAACAAGATACATACAATGAAAGCAACACAATCTTTTTGTAATCCTTGTAAAAAAACAATTCGGCATAACGATTACTAGAAAATTAAGACAAACGAACTAGTCTTAATATGTATATTTCTACAAATTTAATTGTAAATATCAAAACATATCACTAATTACTTTAGTATGTTATAAAAAATCTTAACTGTATTCGTTTTTACAAAAATATTTTGTCTACAATCAAAATCAAATATATTGTCATCATAAATGTTAAAAACTTACAGCATAATGTAAGTTTTTAAAATTAGAGTTGGTATAAAAGCTAAAAGCACTCTTTCCGATTTCTCTTTAAAACTATACTTAATAGTTGGAAGTCTTTAAATAATAGACAACGTGTATCTAAACCATAGGTCTCACAGTTCAGATCACACATTTTCTAATTAACAATTGTTTTTTTGTGTTCTTTAAAGATAATTTTTTAAAAATAATGATAAGGTATGGGTTGATCACTGTATTGCACACACACCTATTTACTGGTAATTGCAAAAATAATATTTAAAGAGTTTTACCTGTTTCAAAAGCTATTATTCTGGCGGCATGGTACTTTGGTACGTCATTACGCGTTTCCCCAAATGTACCAACAGATCAGTTGGGGTGGGTTGGGAGGGGGGGGGGGGTTCAACTTCATTCACCGCTGTCCGGTCACTTCATGTCAATTATCCTACCCAGCGTATACCTAGGTGTGTCCCGTTTTAGGTGGTGAAGTGGGGGTGGGTTGGGGGAAACCAACTCAGAGTTAACATAGCGTCAGTTTTCAGATGATGGTTCTAAACATACATATACAATTATACATATATACTGATTCGGAAATAGATTTAAGTAACAGTGGTATTATGACAGTAAAAAGAATTACAGAAGGGTCAATGGGGGTTGTATCCCCCCCCCCCCCCTAACCACCCCTGCCTACGCCACTGGTATACTTTGCAGTAGACGTAGCCAAACTTGAAAGTCAATCAATACAGTTTAATTAGTCTACCAGGTTACAAAGTGTTCGCACTTTACTTGCTTTTTGGGGTAGACTAAACACCGAGAAACAGCAAGATGAACCCTTTGGCAGCGATTTTATGTTTGCTCTCTCTGGCTGCATACATACAACCAGGTATTTCTCAGTTTTTATTGTATGGTAGTCCATCGTGTTTGTGATTATCTTGAAACTACATTTTGGTGAATAAATAAGTGAGAATAGTAGCTAACGATCTATATATAGCCTATTCTAACGCAATGCTACTCAGATATTTTATTTCTGCATATTTTAATTGTATCAATTGGTGTTGCTCGCCATGAAATGGAAAATAAGTAACAAGCGGTTTTCTGTTTAAATTTTTTACTCTGATGTGTATTTTGTTTGTATAACAACAACGTTATTGAAGAATGGAGGGTGCACTGTAAGTTAATTTTTAGATTACGTCAAAGAGCATGGGATGCTAATTTGAGCATAGCTTAATGCAATTATCTTTAATTTCTCTCAAAACATTTCATTTTGCATATATATATATATATGTGTGTGTGTGTGTGTGTGTATGTGTGTATACAATGCTCACTCTGTATCTTTATCCCCAGGGATTTCCAAAACAGTCCAATATAAGATTGTTATAAAAACAGGCGATGTAGAAAATGCAGGGACTGATGCCAAAGTTTTCATCAACCTGTTTGGCAACAAAGGCTCAACTGGCAACCTGATTTTACCTGGGCAGGTCACTAGTCAGTTTGAGAGGGGAGACACGGACACATTTACGGTGAGTTTACTGTGGATTGTCAGATTTCGTGTCAAGTTTGGCAAAACTTTGTGACATTAAAACTGCTTTTGACAGTTTAGCCTTTTATTAGATTTAACATATGCAACACATTCATTACACGTTCTACGTCTTTGCTCATTTTACTAAAAGGCGATTGAAACGTAGCGGGATCTTGTGGCATTATAGTTCCAACTACATTCACAACACATTTCACCAAACAAACAACCATAAATAACAACTCGATACAGGGAGCCGCATTAATTCCTTCAAAAATAGATGTACGAAAATAAAGTTTTTAGTCAAGAGCTGGTTTTTCAGGTATACGGCAAAGAGGTTGGACGGCTCTACGCCATACAGATAGGCCACGACAACAGCGGTGAAGCACCAGGATGGTACCTGGATTATGTGAGTTTAAACGTTTCTGAAAATATTTCAATTTAAGCTTACACTACAACATAACTCTCTCACCACAACTTAACTCTCTCACTACAGCTTAACTCTCTCACTACAACTTAACTATCTCACTACAACATAACTCTCTCACCACAACTTAACTCTCTCACTACAGCTTAGCTCTCTCACCACAACTTAACTCTCTCACTACAGCTTAACTCTCTCACCACAACTTAACTATCTCACCACAACTTAACTCTCTCACTACAGCTTAACTCTCTCACCACAACTTAACAATCTCACTACATCTTAACTGTCTCACCACAACTTAACTCTCTCATACAGCATAACTATCTCACCACAAATTAACTATCTCACCACAACTTAACTCTCTCACTACAACTTAACTATCTCACCACAACTTAACTCTCTCACCACAACTTAACAATCTCACTACAGCTTAACTCTCTCACCACAACTTAACTCTCTCACTACAACTTAACTCTCTCACCACAACTTAACAATCTCACTACAGCTTAACTCTCTTACCACAACTTAACAATCTCACAACAGCATAACTCTCTCACCACAACTTAACTCTCTCACTACAACTCAGATATTTTATTTCTGCATATTTTAATTGTTTCAACTGGTTTAACTTTTCATGAAATGGAAAATAAGGAACAAGCGATTTTATGTTTAATTTATGACTCTGATGTTTATTTTCTTTATATAACAAATGGTGTTTTTGAAAATGGAGGGTGCATGGGATGCTAATTTGAGCATAGCTTAATGCAATTATCTTTAATTATTCTCATAAGATTTCATTTTGCAATATATATATATATATATATATATATATATATATATATATATATATATATATATATATATATATATATATATATATATATATATGTGTGTGTGTGTGTATGTGTATGTGTATGTATGTGTGTGTATTCAATGCTCAGTCTCCCTCACTACAACCTAACTCTCTCACTACAACCTAACTCTCTCACTACAACTTAACTCTCTCACTACAACTTAACTCTCTCACTACAACTTAACTCTCTCACTACAGCTTAACTCTCTCACTACAACTTAACTCTCTCACTACAACTTAACTCTCTCACCACAACTTAACTCTCTCACCACAACTTAACTCTCTCACTACAACTTAACTCTCTCACTACAACTTAACTCTCTCACTACAACTTAACTCTCTCACCACAACTTAACTCTCTCACTACAACTTAACTCTCTCACTACAAGTTAACTCTCTCACTACAACTTAACTCTCTCACTACAACTTAACTCTCTCACTACAACATAACTCTCTCACTACAACTTAACTCTCTCACTACAACTTAACTCTCTCACCACAACTTAACTCTCTCACTACAACTTAACTCTCTCACTACAACTTAACTCTCTCACTACAACTTAACTCTCTCACCACAACTTAACTCTCTCACTACAACTTAACTCTCTCACCACAACTTAACTCTCTCACTACGCCTATTAGGTAGATTAATTAACTACAAATCAAAACAAGTCCCGCAACACACAGAAACAACAGATAAAACTATACAATAAAAACTGTCATGTTATGTCCCCTTAATATCAGTTTTTTTAATTAATTTATCGGGACTAGATCTATAGCATACTACTTGGCTTACCTATAGACGTCTAGCTTAGCGCCGGTATATGTAAGCCTCTGATTGTCATCATGTCTGTCCACTTTGCATCACCACTGTACATCACATGTTTGTGATATTCTTGCTGATATTCGACAATTACAATTAAATATAAAGTATAGACATAAGCATATCTATATTAAGAGACTGATTATTTCCCTTAGTTCGCTTTTCTTAATATTCCCGGTACTCTTATGTCAATTTGATTTTTTTTACAAGGATTAAAAAAAGCTGCTGTTGCGTTCATTGTTTTGGTTGTATTGTGTGTATTTTTTAAAAATTTGAGTAATAACTAATTTTGTGTTGTCAGCCTACATTGTGGTTTGTTCTTTTGTATTCTTCACATAACTCTTTGAATATATTTTACACCATATATATATATATATATATATATATATATATATATATATATATATATATATATATATATATATATATATATGTATATGTATATATATATCTATATATATATAAGGCGCCTTTTTCTCGACTCGCCTTTTTATCGGCTTTATAGGTAGCTATGTACTTAATTTGTCTATTGGATCTGATTTTTATTTCCTCTCAAGTATTTTAAATGAGCGCTTATAACGGCGCTAACAAAATTACCCTCTCACCACGTTATGTACCGTTGTATACACGCAGGGGATCTTACTCTAAATACCTTGGATAAGGGTAAGACATACCAGCAGTCACTTACTCAACTTACTGTACAAACCTCTTGGCTGAAGTTCGGTCTCTTATAGTCGCTGCTATTTATAAAAAAAGAGTCCATACTGCTCTGGTTTACACCAGACTCACTTTAGGGAAAGTAAAGATGGCTGCTCATATTACTGACTAGATTATCCCATCAAATGCCAAGATAACTAAAAAAAAACTAACTCTACTATGTTTACCATTTTAGAAAGGATAACGTCATTTAATTCATTTGAAGTTGATATTTAAATAAAAATTGATTGTATTTCCATGCACGTATATTGTTAATTTAATTTTTCTTGCTTTTATGAACCGGCAGGTTGATGTAATCCAAACAGTGTACGCATTTGGAAAATATCCTGTAAGTTGTTTGTAATATATTAAACTGTTTAAAATGTGTAATTATTATTACTACATTATTAAGATACTCATAGCATCCTGAAGGTCTAGGTCTAGGTCCAGGTCTAGGTCTAGGTCTAGGTCTAGGTCTAGGTCTAGGTCTAGGTCTAGGTCTAGGTCTAGGTCTAGGTCTAGGTCTAAGTCTAGGTCTAGGTCTAGGTCTAGGTCTAGGTCTAGGTCTAGGTCTAGGTCTAGGTCTAGGTCTAGGTCTAGGTCTAGGTCTAGGTCTAGGTCTAGGTCTGGGTCTGGGTCTGGGTCTGGGTCTGGGTCTGGGTCTGGGTCTGGGTCTGGGTCTGGGTCTGGGTCTGGGTCTGGGTCTGGGTCTGGGTCTGGGTCTGGGTCTGGGTCTGGGTCTGGGTCTGGGTCTGGGTCTGGGTCTGGGTCTGGGTCTGGGTCTGGGTCTGGGTCTGGGTCTGGGTCTGGGTCTGGGTCTGGGTCTGGGTCTGGGTCTGGGTCTGGGTCTGGGTCTGGGTCTGGGTCTGGGTCTGGGTCTGGGTCTGGGTCTGGGGCTGGGTCTGGGTCTGGGGCTAGGGCTAGGGCTAGGGCTAGGGCTAGGGCTAGGGCTAGGGCTAGGGCTAGGGCTAGGGATAGGGTTAGGGTTAGGGTTAAGGTTAAGGTTAAGGTTAAGGTTAAGGTTAAGGTTAAGGTTAAGGTTAAGGTTAAGGTTAAGGTTAAGGTTAAGGTTAAGGTTAAGGTTAAGGTTAAGGTTAAGGTTAAGGTTAAGGTTAAGGTTAAGGTTAAGGTTAAGGTTAAGGTTAAGGTTAAGGTTAAGGTTAAGGTTAAGGTTAAGGTTAAGGTTAAGGTTAAGGTTAAGGTTAAGGTTAAGGTTAAGGTTAAGGTTAAGGTTAAGGTTAAGGTTAAGGTTAAGGTTAAGGTTAAGGTTAAGGTTAAGGTTAAGGTTAAGGTTAAGGTTAAGGTTAAGGTTAAGGTTAAGGTTAAGGTTAAGGTTAAGGTTAAGGTTAAGGTTAAGGTTAAGGTTAAGGTTAAGGTTAAGGTTAAGGTTAAGGTTAAGGTTAAGGTTAAGGTTAAGGTTAAGGTTAAGGTTAAGGTTAAGGTTAAGGTTAAGGTTAAGGTTAAGGTTAAGGTTAAGGTTAAGGTTAAGGTTAAGGTTAAGGTTAAGGTTAAGGTTAAGGTTAAGGTTAAGGCTAGAGCTAGTGCTAGGGTTAGGGCTAGGGCTAGGACTAGGGTTAAGGTTAAGGTTAAGGTTAGGTCAGGGTTAGGCTTTTATCAATGTCTCGATTTAGTTTTAGTTTTGGATTAAGTTTTAGTCTGAGGTGAAGTTTTTTCGTCTTTGTCTTAAGGTTAGCATTAATTTTATATATAGGTATAGAGTTGGATTTAGAATCAGGATTCTATCTTGGTGGAGAGGGAGGGGGGTAATTCCCCAGGTGGATAATTGACTTGGTGTAATTGCTTTAGTGTTGGATTGACGGGGGGGGGGGACTGTCCGAGGATAATTAACGGGGAGGGGTAATGTCCTAGACCTGTTTTCGGTAGCCAAGGTTTTTGTTAATTGTACGGCCTGGCCTAAGCGGTAGAGCGCTATACTGCTAACCCGAAAGTCTCTCGTTCAAATCCGGGCCCATGTCATAAGAACGTCCCTGAGTCCACCCAGATCTGATAGGTTTCTAACTCATCTTGGAGAAAGTAAAGGCCGCTAGACAAAGTGCTGGTGAAAGTCATGTGTGCATTTCTTGGCTAAAGTCATGGGTAAATTGTTGGAATGAGGTAATTAAAAATTCTATATAAATCCATCATCGAATTGACATCAATATATTTTTGCGATGACCTATGTCCGCTCATATATTTCTAATCTGTCACTCAGATATATTCTGTTGGAGATATTTATTTTCTGAGACAAATATTTTTTAGAGCATAAGACTTGCAAATGTACGTAGGATGTACGTATGTCTGTAAGACAATGTTACAATTGCAACACTTCCTTACTTTTCTGCACGACCGGCTGTTGTCTGTAGGCCTATTCATGTTTGTATTCAGCAAGATCATGCATTTCAAGTCTTGTTAACTAAAACTAATCAATTTTGATACTCAACTTGCAGAGACCTAAAAACACCCGGTACATATTTAGAGGCTGGATCGCCGCTGATGAGGGTGACGGGTCACTGTCAAAGAGACTACACCATGGCTTGATCAGCTACCCTGATAACTAAATTTGTAGCAACTAATCAGAGGACGCAGTAATTAGATTTAAATAATATAGCATTGAAATTATTTTTTTTTTGATTGTTGTAGTCTGTTATAAAAGGTATTAAAATAAAATAAAGCAGGAAAAATGTGTCTAATATTCGAAGTTTGTTTGTTTGCTTGTTTAATGATGATGTAATATATTACTTTTTTAATCGTAGTAAGTAAATTAAAGTTCTCGTTTAAGACCTAATGACCTGTAGGGCAAGTGAAGTAAAGTTCATATGTTTCTTGACCACGGCATATGAAGGGAAGGTGTGGTCAAGAATATGACCAGCCGTCTTTACTTACCCTAACACGAGTTATGTATCCATCAGAGCTAGGTGGAATCAGGGACTTTATGTTGACTTGAACCCGATTTTTTGTTAGTAGCTTAACGCTCTAACTCTTAGGTCACGCCGTTTAATGCGTAAAAGAATAAATGAATGTTATGACTACTGGCTGCTAAAATTAAGCTGTTCAGATTAACATACCTGGCTATAGTCATTAGCATTGGCCACATTCTGATAAATGCGTACCTGCAACACAATAAAACACTACAGTATAGAAGCTTAAACTTAGGCCACGGTTTCTGGTTGTTTCTATGTCTCTCTGTCAAGGTACATTGTGAAAAGTGGATTTATGGTAAATCTTGTAACTCATTTTCGACACAAATATTTTTAAATATATTTTTAAATAAATTCGTTTCCAAAGACATCATTTTACATCTAATTAGATGTTAATTAGTGATTACATGCTTTAGTCACTAGTAAATCCTGTAACTTATTTTCGATACAAACAGTTTTTAACACATTTCTAAATAAATTCGTTTCCAAAGACAACATTTTCCATCTAATTAGATGTTAATTAGTGATTACATGTTTTAATATGGGGGCTGAAGTAAACTCATAGTTTTCAATCCTGACAAACGACCCTGGACGATGTTAATGGTCAGATTATTTTTACTTAGGGTTAAGTTAAAATTAAATAAGTTACCATTTTAGACCTAGTGATTTATGGCTAAAAAGACAACAACGAATATGCAAATTATTTATGGTTAAACTGTTTTGAAACACTAAAATTCTGATCTTTTTCCTCTTTGCAAAAGCGTTGCTTTCTAAAATGTGTTTACATTTTGTGAGTCCAATTATTTGTTCAAAACAAAAGACGACGTATTTGGTAATTTGCATAAAAAAACGAGAAAATTTACTCAACAGTGAATAATTCAACATAGTACTTACATCATCAAGAAACCAGCCTGGATTTCTGTAACTGTTGTCGTGCCCATTCGTAATTTATCTAAGACGTCCTACATTTTCAGCAGTGACCTGGAAAAAAGGGATTCGTTTTCATGTATTAGAATAAAATTATTTGTATCTTGTAGTTTATTAGTTCTTAACTGACCAAACCACTCACTGCCCCAACTGACCAACCCACTCACCACGAACGAGTCAGTACTGTGCTTCTCAAATCTTCTCCAGTCAGGGTCTGGTAGAGCTGAACAAAATTTTTACCTATTATTTCAGAATTAAAGCCAATAGGTTTCTTCCAGCCATAACATATACTAATAAAATAGAAATTAGTTAATTTTGAATATACGTAACCTAAAATATATGAATTACTTATTTAATAACCTGTTATTAAATGTTTTACAATTTTTGGCTTTTATAAACATTAGTAGATATCTGAGTCTTGTCGTTGATTAAAAGAGTGAAATTTTCCTAAAATGGCTATAGTTTATGAAATGGGCTGACAAAGTGACAAAGTATCGTCTAGTAGAACTAGCAAAGTGGGCTATTCGCTGATTACGTGTAAGAAGCAGTGTTAAAAAAATTGAGAAGCACTGTGTTAGAAGAAAGTTTGAGAAACAACGGATTAGAAGAAAGTTTTAGAAGTACTGGGTTAGATGACGTACTTTGTTAGAATAAAAACAAGCAACTCATTATTTTTTCACTGCCACTCAAGTGACGTAACTTACCCAAACGTTAAGTTGTAGGAGTATTTTTGACCAATTATTGGCGAAAAAATCTACTTAAAAGGAAATGTGGATCTCCCTGCGGTCGAAAATCACTTAAAATAAGTTTTAACAATTTTGTTAAAAATGATGTCCTGTTTATAATATCAAAATATAATTAGGATAATTAGGATAATTAGGATAATTAGGGGCGGCGTCGTTGCGTGGGAGAGCGCGTGGCCACTAGCTACAAATTTTCGATCTTGAATGCCAGTCAGTTTAGACTTAATATTAGCATTGTACAGAAATAAAACTCGCAAATCTGATAGGAGTGGAGCCCCACGGCATCACGATCAGTAACTCTTGCTTTTTTGCAACAGCTACTTATGATTAGCTCTTTCTTGGACTATTCAGACAAAGATCGAGAATACGATGCCACTCACCAGAGGATCCCACATCTATTTCCATTGTCTCCCGATACAAAAAGTTAGTCGAATCCAAAGTGGAACAACATTATTCAGTCATATGAGTCATAATAATACAAAATAAAATATACCATTCAAAAGCCTTAAAGTACATCTGCCAATATAAAATCAATTTTAAAATTGCTGAAAAAAATACAACCAAGCCCATGCTACATTTTTGTGATAGTAGAAATTGCCCAGCTTTAGAGGACACGAAAGCTTATACACTGAATTTGGTGCCCTGTCAAAACGGCCCGGGACAAATCGGCCCCGTCAAAACGGCCCCGTTAATACGACCCCGTCAAATCGACTCCCGACAAACCGACCCCGTCAAAATAGCCCCGTCAAAAGGGCCCCGACTTATTGGCTCCCGTCAAATGGGCTCCCGTCATATTGACTTGCGACATATAGGCTCCCGACAAATGGGCTCCCGATATTTAGGCTCCCGACAAATGGACTCCCGACATATTAACCCCTGACAAATAGGCTCAGGACATATTGGCTCCCGACAAAGCGGCTCCCGACATATTGGCTCCCGACATAAGGGCTCAAGACAAATGGGCTCCCGGCAAATGGGCTCACGACATTTTGGCTACCGACAAATGGGCTCCCGACATATTGGCTCCCGGCAATTGGTCTCCCAACATATTGGCTTTTGACAAAATGACTCCCGACATATTGGCTCGAGACCAATGAATGGCATGACCACTATTGGCATAAAAGCAACCATTGTGTCCTACCTCCAATACCACCATAACCTCTTTTTAATGCCCGAATGAAATTATTTTTTCATGAACCAACATTAATTCACAAACAAATCGAGCCCTTAACAGCTAAATTCCACCAATTCTAAAGTTTTGATAATGTTTAATTTACAACAGAAAAGATCTGTTGCTTAAAAGCGAGCACAGAAGTGTAAATGTATGATATACATGATGTTAACATGATAACAGCATTTTGTTTTGATAACCTACAAGCACAGTGGCGTAGCGAGGTCGGGTGTTACCCGGTGCGGCACTTAATGGTGTCACCCCCCCCCCCCCAGAGGCGTTGCAACCCTTCCCGGGGACAAACTTTCAAGTTTTCGATTTGCACCCCCCCCCAAACTTTTGATTTGCACCCCCACCCCCTCAACTTTTTGTCTATATATTTTGCTATTTTTTGCCTTTGTGTCACCCCCCTAAATGGTGTCACCCGGTGCGGTCCGCACCCCCCGCTGAGTTGGAACAGCCTATAACCGACTCAATTATGGATGTCATAGATAGATGACCCTTAAACTAAAACATACTATATTTTATAATAGATAAACTAATATAAAAATAAGGCCTGCCGAACAAGAGATGCATACGTTGTATTACATAAGAGTGTTGGATAAGCTAACTCTAAAGAATATTGATGAAGGGGTCCCACTGACAGATGTCATATTCAATGAGACCGCTTTGCCGGGAGAC